CACGACACCAGCCTCAATTTATACCATGTCTTTTACTTCTAGTAACCCCGGTTTTTTAGCTACCTAGCCACTAAACCTTTATAAATGTTTTTTCCCCCTTTTCTCCTGCACATGTTCTTCCCTCCTTTTTATGTAGTAAAGTCCTATTTACCTTCAGAGCTCAAGAGCAACCACTAACCCTCAAGATACTTTTTTCATTCTCCTTCACCAGATCAAATCCTCTTAGTACAAAATGTCCAAGCTAATGTGCATGTCCCCCGTGATACTGATCACAGTTCCAAGTATACGATTTTGTAATTTTGTTAATATCTGTCTCCCTCATTGAAAAATCCAAGAGGGCAGAGATAATTTTGCTAAATTTTTATTTCCAACATAATAGAGTTTCCAACATAACAGAGTCACATCATCTTTCTTAAAGGGGAAGAGATAACCTGGGAGTGGGGAGGGACAAGGCATTCTAGGTGTGACAAGAATGGCTAACTTTCCACCACAATTCATCTTTTCCTCCTCCAGAGTAGAATTATCGTTGAGAAGCAATTCTTGCATCAAGATGTGGCCATGTGATTAGTTCTTGGCAATAGAGTGTAGGCAAGAATACTATGTGTCAATTCAGGCCAAGGCTTTTAAGAAACACATATGCCTTCTCCACATCCTCCTTCATTCTCCACCATGTGAAGAGGACAGCAAAGCTCTAGGGCAAGGCAAAGTCATAAGATGGGTCACTGCAAGGAGAAAATAGCACGCAGAGCAAAAGCACCCTAAATTCAGCTATTATGTGAATAAAAACTATTTTTCTATTATATTAACCTTCTGAAGTTTGGACGTTTATTTCTATAGCAAATAGCATTACCCCAACCAATTCAGAAATCGGTATCTTACTGTACTGGCTTTAACATAAATCTAAATATGCACTGGCTTATCACTCGGGTGCAAGAAGCAAGGGAATAGATATTTGGGGATGGAAAATTTAAGACCCACGTAATGCAGTGGCAAAATATTTAATAAAACTGTGACCTGTAACAGCTTGGAAGATAGACCACATAACTTTCAAGCTTATATCTCTAGGAAAATAGCTGGCAAGGACAAGAGAAGTAGCGTGTATTGGCTTTTACTTGTATTTGGCACGAGGTTTCAAGAAAGTGATGAGTTCAGGAAAGAATTGACTGGTTTGAGAGCAGAAATGATAATATAGTATAGAAAGAGTCTGGTAATTGAGGGGCCCTCAGGGTCAGGAAAAGTGAAAGCCAACTACTTGTGGACCCCAAAAGGTATAAGGTTAAGACAAAAAAAGGCTTTGAGCAACAAAGGCCCATTAAGACTTTTTAAACAGAGAAACTAAATCCTAAAACAAGATCAGATTGAGGGGGTTGCTTCCAGTCCAAGCCTACTTTAAATGGCCCCAAGGTAAGTGCCGTTAAAAAGCATAAGAACCAAAGAAATAAATCAGACTTTAGAATTACATTTAGAAAAAAAAAACTTTGGGTGTATTTACTAACACATTCAACTGACTGGAGGCAAATAAATGAGAAGCCTATTTTATTTTTGAGAGAATTGCATTGCCTAAGATATCAAGAACCTGGCCCTTAAGAGCCTATGTCTATAAAATAGCTCTCAGGCCCAAAACCTTTTTTTCTTTAGGAAGACTGGCCCTGAGCTAACATCTGTTGCCAATCTTCCTCTTTTTCTTTTTTCTCCCCAAAGCGCCAGTAGATGGTTGTATATCCTAGTCGTAGGTCCTTCTAGTTCTTCTGCATGGGACGTAGCCTCAGGATGGCTTAATGAGCAGTGTGTAGGTCTGGCCCAGGATCCGAACCCATGAACCCCGGGCCACTGAAGCAGAGTGTACGAACTTAACCACTATGCCACCGGGCTGGCCCCTACACCACATATTTAAAAAAAAAAAAAAGTATAATCTCTGTATTATACCTGTATTCCTTTAATATATGGTGTATCTTAAAACAACCTAAAATACTGTGTTTTATGTAGAGTTAGACTGGTCCTAATAATTATGAACATGTTTTTCACCTCCATAATGGTTGGTGAGATAGCTGAAAGCCATGTGGGACATGAGATTTCTTCATTGGAACTGTCCCACTCTCTGTAGAATATCTAGGATCCTACTCATTAAATATCAAGAGCACATCCCCTAAATGACTGTAATAACAAAATGTCCCCATAAATGTCTAAATGCCACCATGAGGATGGTACAATCCCCACTGAGAACCAACGTATTAAACGAATGCCTGTTATACACAAGGCTTATGGAACTACACATATGGGAGAGCAGAAGCCAACGATTCCGGGTGGAGTAATGGCAGAACAGAAAAGAAGTGAGACTAGAAGAATATGTGTATTTCTAGAACAGCTGGTTATAATACATCCAGACTGAAGAGAGTTGAATTTGGTCAAAACAACAGATAATAACCAAGCAACTAGAAATCTTCAAGAGAGAAGAAGCAGATATAATAGGTATAAAGAATTAGAAAAAATAGGATGTTAAGTAGCCATTACTCCTCAATATACACCCTCCACTCAAGCCAGACCAGTAGTTTTTCTTTTCTCCCAGGACATTGTACTTATTCCAAACTCCAAGACTTTTTCAAGTTGCTTTCCTTCTGAAGACACTCCTCTCTCTTCTCTTGCCTATGCAAAATATATCCCTCAAAAGAACTCAGGCAAAGTCCCAATTTTCTAGAAAATTCTTTGCAAGCACTCCTAGCTTCATAACTCTTTTCCTTGTAGAAATCATACAGAGTTCCACTACCTGAATATTTATTAACCAGCTACTATATGCCTGTAGGAAAACAATCCTTTATTCCTTCCACAGAAAAGACAGCACTGTTCAATGCTGCACATGTGCTTCTATGAAACTCTACCTCTTCACTACAGAGATAACCCTGTCAGTTCATTTACCACCCACTGCCTCACAAGGGCAGTGTGAATGATCAACTTCTACTCTAACTCTAAAAGTGAAGAATCCAGAGGTGAGGGTGGGGGGACATTAAAGATGGATAGAAGTGCAGTTCTTTAAAAGAATTCATTTGGAAAAGAGGATTCCAAATATATACACCTATCTTTAAATGGACCAGCCAATGTAGAGCTCGATTATTGTTAGCTTAGGATAAAAATTAGTGTCTTATAAACTTTATCCCTTTCTCTCCACTCTGTACTTTTATATATTTGGTTTACTCGTTTTTTATTCATAATCCACTCACACAATATACATATTTTAGGAATCCACACTGTATGTCAGACAATATGCTAGCAATTACCAATAAGCAAGATCAATAAGGTCCTTGCCATCCTGGAACTTATAGATTAGTAAAGCAGGGAGACTTTAAACAAAGATAAAAATAAATATAACATTATAAATTGTGAAGCATGACTTGAAAGAAATGTACAAAGACAGGCTTGTCCTTCAGGTAGGACAACTAAGGTGGCTTCCCTGCACCCCATGCAAGACACTGAACATTATACTTTTTGACATGTGCGTGTGTGCATGTGTATGTGTGTGTGTGCAATGCATGCGTGTGTGTGCAAGAGGATATATATTACACACATCAGTGTGCATGTATGTGCGCATATGTTTGAGTAAATTCCACATTATAGGGTGGGTCAGTACCAGGTGAATTATGCCAGGGCCACACTCCTCCAGGGACAGCCTTAAACAAGGGCACAACCCTACACAAACACTATACACACTACACAAGGAACAGTTCTATCTACGTAAGTGCTATATTCGTAGTCTACACTAATGGTTCTCAAATGCCAATCCTTCAATAGATGGCAGGACAGCTCCATAAGAATCACCTGGAAACTTGTTAAAAATAAAAATTTCCAGTCTCTATTCTCAACAATTTCAATTTAGTAGGCCTGGAATGAATTTTTATAAAGTTTCACCTGGTTGATTAAGACACAACGGTAGATTTGAGCCCTTAGTCACATGGTGCCTTGACTCGTTACCTAACTGTTCATATTTCTTTTATGACACTCAAAGCAAGGCACAGTACTATGCTATTCAGTGTCAGTTAAGTACAAAATATATTGTTTTCAAGTAAATAAACAAAGGTATTATAAGGAAAATTATGCTCTTTGTTTTGTTTTCCCAAATATAAGGACACTTCTTATTAAGAAGCTTTCACTTAGGGACAGAAAAGACAAACTCTGAGGCAGTGCTTCTCAAAATGTAGAAGATGAACTACTAGTGGTATGGCAGATAATTTAATATGGTACCCAAAATGATTTTAGATGATACACAAGATTATTTTGCATGGTACATGGATATACACTAAACAACACTGAATCACAAAGGAAAATGTATTTTTCTTTTCAATTCTCTTTCAATCAGAAATCTTCAGTTAGCTATTGGTATGTCTCTTACACCTCTCTATCATTGCTTATCTCATTTTAAGAAATAGAGAACATGCCTCAGAGCCTTTGGAAAACAACAGTTACCTAGCCAGATTTTAGTAACATTGTTTTGTTTTCACTGTATTTTTTAAGACTATCATCCATTTAAAGCATGTGATACTGATTTTTCACTTATACTGGCAAGATAAATAAAAAGAAGGTGAATTTAAAGAAAATAGCATAAATTGCATGCAGATGCAAAAATTATGAGGGTGCTCTATGAATGACTGAAATTTAGAAATACTACTGTGTGAGGTACCACCAAAAGTAACAACAAATTCCTCTAATTATTCAGAGAATAATTGCATAATAGTGTATATATATAAAATATACACTAATTATTCAATAAATAATTAATCCAAATGGATAATCAAAAGCCACAAAACACCTGCAGGAAGACATTCAATGAAGTTTATACCACCACTTGACAACATAGCCAAAATAATGCCATTGCATAATATGTCAATTATTGCTTATGCATTTTCTTGACTAAATGAATAAGATAATCTCTGACTATACATATAAGAAATGTACTTATGCTCTTATATGAAAGCTAGGACAATTATTGTTCTTTAATTTATACTACATACCTTATATTCTTTGGGTCGGTAGGAACTCAGATGAGAATGATCTGGAAAAGGATGTACAAAAGAATTAAACTAAAAATATTTCATATCAAAAAGAAAATTTGATTTCATTTTTGATTTTTGCTACTATCACTCTGTTTCAATGATTATAATTCATATAGCAGTTTTCAGAAATATCTTAAAATCCATCAACAATGTTACATAAGCAAAGATGATAAGCAACAAGTTAAAATCTGTATCAGTTCTTCAGTAATTGATTTCAAATACTATTTTCATTAGAAAGGAGATATATGAATATAGACCAGAATAATTTTTAATTGATAAAGCAGTTTGTCTACATGAAATGGATAATTTTTAGTTGATAAACAAGTTTATGATGAAATGTATTTGAATATATAGATTTGATAGATATTGGCAAACTACATGTGTTCCTATTCTTGAAGCCCATGCTAGAATCAAGCGAGTATAATGGACACGGGACCAGCTGTAGATCGTGGTAGCATCCTTTAGTGCACAGACCTTGGTGAACCAATAGACAGGCACTACACCAGGCTCCAGTACTTCTTTGTAGGACCTTGGGCACATCACCTAACCTTTCTGAGTCTCAGATTCCTCAACTGTTTGATGTAACTCTTTCATAACATCGTTTGAAAGATTACATTAGAGATTACATGTAAGGCAATAAAACAAATGTTAACTATTATTACTAACACCATCATCAACATCATTACTATTGAATTCTAAGTCAAACAAGCCTAGGTTCAACTTCTGATTCCACCAATTACCAGACATATTACTTTGGTCAAGTTATATAATTAATCTGTGTTTCATTCCTCATAAGAGTATCAAGACAATGCTTATCTTACCTCAGAGAGTCATAGTGATGATTAAATTATACACCTTATGAAAGTCCCTGGCACAGCATCTATAACACAGAGCGCTATAAAACTACTCTAAATCTCTCCCTAAGATAAGGACCACTACATTGTACATGCAGATTTGGGGTTTTACTCATTACTTAAAGAAGTCAACTTTCAAGAATCAACTTTCAAGTATTATAATCTCTGTCATATTGACAGTCAAGCAAATCAGAACCATAATTTGCAATTCTACTTCATTACTCATACATTCTAGTCAAAAGCATTCCCAATATTCTGTATTTTACCTTCCCAAAACTTGTCCGGGGGAAAAAAAAATGGGTATAAGGATAGAGACATAGGATAGCCTATATTTGGTCAATTAATTATCTTTCTTTTACGGCACAAGATGTTGTCTGTTTTCCAAGTGTCCTGAACCATTATAGAGGACAGGTGAAAAATTAATATCTTTCACACAAGGCCACCTTTACCATTTAATTCAGTAAGATTCAACTTACTTCTGGTGCTTTTCAAAACTCAAAATAAAAACAAATCCCAGCACAATTCCTCCTCTGTAAAGTCCAATGTACAGCATGGCCACAAATAGCAGAAGAAATAAAGAATGATAAGGACATACTGAGCTTAATTCTCCAAACTTTCTAACTTTGAAAACTAAGGTAATAATTTCCAGACATGGTATATATTCTTTCTGACAGCTAATGTAAAATTAAAAGAAGCCATATATTAAAACTCTGGTATCTCTTCTGCTTTCCACAAACCATTTATAAACTTACCCTAATTCAGACATATTTACAATTTTCTTTCATTTTTACAAATTAAGCTGTTACCTTGATTTGAGGTTTCTCCATGTTCACATTTAATCACCCTTACTAACAATTAGGTACTAAATATATTCTAAATGCAGGAGATAAAAGTCATGGCCCATGGGAGTGAAATGCTTACAATTTACTTCGGTTAAGTTACACAAAGTTGAATAACAACAGCATAAAAGAGCAGACTAAGTGAGAATGGTACAGGCAAGTAATGCTATTAAAAAGTTGCATCAGTGTGACATCAGCGTCATGGCAGAGTGACCTCTTCCCTTAGACTCTCGCCCCTAAGATACAATGAAAAGGACATTCATATACCAACAGAGGACACTCACACAACACAAAAGACATCTGAGAGACCCATGCAGCCACACATCTGAAAGTGAAGGTGCTGAATCCCCAGAGGAAGTGGAAGGAGGTAAGGGGATCTCCTCTCCTTCCCCCAATGGCAGTGACCCAGGGCGTGGGACCATGTGCGGCTCTGAGAGGAGAGGGGGGAAGGGTGGCCCTCTGTGGGAACACCTTTGCTCCCCAAGTTCCCTCAAAGCCCATGGGAAAGCCCCACACAGAGGTGGCTAACCTATTGCAGGAGTGTCTTCCCAGCCAGCACCCCAGGAGAGCAGAGAGTGAGGGCAGAGCAAAAATGCCCCTGGGATCGTGGATGAAGGAAAGCACCTGTTCCCCCACCTACCACTGCAGCTCAGCTGGTCGGCCAGAGTGCCTGTGCATATGATAGAAAAGCAGCAGCTGTGAGCGAGAGAGCCAGAGTTGCAGCAAGCTCAGAATACACAGCTCTTGACCCCTACCCAGTGCTGGCAGGTGGAAGTTGTGACCAGACACTAATCACTATGCGGAAGCACAAATTCTTCCCATCAAACAGTATGAAGAAATATATTAATACTCCAGACCAGAAGGAAAATGACAAGCACCCAGAAATCAATCCTGAAGGCACAGAAATTTATAATCTAAATGACAGAGAATTCAAAATAGCTATCATAAAAAAACTCAATGAGTTGCAAAAAATTACAGACAGAAAGTTCAATGAAATTCAGAAACAAAATTAATGAACAGGGGGAATTCTTCACAAAAGAGATTGAAACCATAAATAAAAACCATTCAGAAATGTTGGAGATGAAAAACACAATGGATGAGATAAAGAAAAATCTGGACTCCCTGAATAACAGCTGATATTATGGAGGAGGGAATCAGCATTCTGGAGGACAGAAATATAGAAATGCTTCAGAGGGAGGAGGAAAGAGAACTAAGACTAAAAAGAAATGAAGAAATTCTCCAAGAAATATCCAAGTCAATTAGTAAATGCAATATAAGGATTACAGGTATTCCAGAGGAAGAAGAGAAGGAGAATGGAGCAGAAAACTTGTTCAAAGAAATAACAGCTGAGAACTTCACAAACCTGGTGAAGGAGCTGGAAATATGAGAAAGAAGCTAATAGAACTCCGGATTATATCAATGTAAAAAGACCTTCTCCAAGGCATATAGTAGTAAAGCTGACAAAAGACAACGACAAAGATAAAATATTAAGGGCAGCAAGGTCGAAGAAAATAACTTACAAAGGAACGCCTACCAGGCTTCCAGCAGATTTCTCAGCAGAAACCTTACAGGCTAGGAGAGAGTGGAATGATATATTCAAAATTCTGAAAGACAAAAACATTCAGCCAAGAATACTCTACCCAGCAAAAATATCCCTCAGATAAAATGGAGAAATAAAACTTTACCAGATAAACAAAAGCTAAGAGAATTCATTGCCACAAAACCCCCCTACAAGAAATGATCAAGATGGCCCTCATAGCTGGAAAAAAAAAAAAAAAAGAAAGGGTTTACAAAGCTTTGAGCAAGGAGATAAATAGGTGGACAAAGTCAAGAAATTGCAGCTCTCTATCAGAACAGGTTAGCAAGCACTTAATAATAACATTAAAGATAAAGGGAAGTAAAACATCAAAAATAATGATAATCCTGTCATTTTAACCACAAGCTCACAATACAGGATGGAATAAGTTGTGACAATAATAACTTAGAAGAGGAAGAGGAAAGGGATGGAATCGGCTTAATCTAAAGAAATAAGAGGTTATCAGAAAATGGATTGTCTCATCTACGGGATTTTTTATACAAACCTCATGGTAACCACTAAAAAAATAATCAGAACAGAGACATAAATGACCTATAAAGAGAAAACTAAGAAAACCACCATAGAGAACTACCAAAGTGAACTGGTAGTCTGAAATACACAGGACGAGAACAAGGGAAATGCAGAACAACCAGAAAATGAGTGATAAAATGGCAGCATTAAGCCTTCATATATTAATAAGCACTCTAAATGTAAATGGATTGAATTCTCCAATCAAAAGACACAGAGTGGGGGCCGGCCCGGTGGCGCAAGCGGTTAAGTGCGCGCACTCTGCTGCGGCGGCCCAGGGTTCGCTGGTTCGGATCCCGGGCGCGCACCGACGCACTGCTTTGGCGGCGTCCCATATAAAGTGGAGGAGGATGGGCACGGATGTTAGCCCAGGGCCGTCTTCCTCGGCAAAAAAAGAGGAGGATTGGCGGATGTTAGCACAGGGCTGATCTCCTCAAAAAAAAAAAAAAAAAAAAGACACAGAGTGGCTGGATGGATTAAAAAATGAGATCCAAAAATATACTGTCTCCAGGAAACACATCTGAGCTCTAAAGACAAACACAGGCTCAGAGTTAAGGGATGGAAGATGATACTCCAAGCTAATGGCAAACAAAAGAAAGCAGGTATTGCCATACTTATATCAGACAAAGTAGACTTCAAGATAAAAAGAAAATGAGAGACAAAGAAGGGCAGTATATAATAATAAAAAGGACACTCCACCAAGAAGACGTAACACTTATAAATATATATGCACCCAACACAGAAGCACCAAAGTACATAAAAGCAACTATTAACAAAGCTAAAAGGAGATATTAACAACAACACAATAATAGTAGGGGACCTTACCACCCACTTACATCAATGGATAGATCATCCAGACAGAAAGTCAACAAGGAAATAATGGATTTAAACAAAAAACTAGATGAGATGGTCTTAATAGATATATATAGATAACACACCATCCAACTACAGCAGAATACACATTCTTCTCAAGTGCACATGTATCATTCTCAAGGATAGACCATATGTTGGGAAACAAGGCAAGCCTCAATAAATTTAAGAAGATTGAAATCATATCAAGCATCTTCTCTGAACACAAAGCTATGAAACTAGAAATCAACTATAAGAAAAAAGCTGGGAAGCTGACAAATATGTAGAGACTAAACAATATGCTACTGAACAACCAATAGATCATTGAAGAAATTAAAGGAGAAATAAAAAAA